GGAGCTGCCGCGGCCGACCTCTGATGAGCCACCGGCTCAGAACAGTACTGAACCGCGACGTAGCGCGAGAGTGGGGGCTCCGCCAGAACGCTTCGGGGTAGTAGTACCGAATAATATCGGCTAACTGCTGTAATGTATTTTGTCTTTCGCGTTGATTGTGTCGCATTTTGTGTCTCAAGTGTCTGATGTAGGTGTCCTAGTGTCCTAGTGCATTGTGTCATATTGTGTGTATGCATTGAGATGTGATCTTAAAGATCAGGGGGACGTGTAGTTTATAGTTATGTGTAGCTCTGTGTGACCGGCTGAGACGCTGCGTGGCCCAGACGCGCCTGGGGGACGCCGTCTAGCCGACACTGACAAATGTGTCCAAGGGGGGTGTCCTGTTACATGTGTGGCGACGGGGGCGCCGAGTCGCGGTGGTAGCGGCGCCGGGTCGTGCGAGAGGGTTGGCAGTGTGGTTGGAACGGTCGCAGGAGAAGCACCCAATACACTCGACTACACAAGCATAGGTCAGGGTCAAGGTCAGGTCAATCAGGTAAGCATATATCACCGAAAATCAAAACTGGTATTCGCAGTATACGACTGATGTTTTTTTTTTAGTGCTTTTGGGCATAGAACAAGATGGTGACATTCATATCAGCCGTTTTCACGACGGGCTATCCGGCGAGTGCACCTACTTTGACCAAATCTGCACCTAATCTCTGTTACAGCAAATATCTTTATTTTATGAATTTATTTCAGTGTTTTAACCCTCTCCCGCACATGGGGGGGGGGTTGCCACCCCCCCCCCCAGGTAGTTGATAATATGACAAGGCAGGCATATAAGCAAATAGTGCAACCCTAGCTGATAGCTACTAAGAGACACACTGAACCTAATTTGACCAAATCTGCACCTAATCTGCACCAGATGTGCACCAAATGTGTACCAGATGGCCGTCGTGAAAATGGCTATTTCCTATCATACGAGTACATGTTGTGTCGAAAATAATCGATTTAAGAAATGCGTGCATCATGGTTGTGTAAGTAGTTCCGAGAAATTGTACAGATTCACTTCAAGCTTTTGGAAAATGCGGAACGATATTAAAAAAAAATCAAAGATAGCCATTTGATTAATCATTGCATTGGCTGTCTAATGGCGTTTACGGCATGTCTCTACGTCTGTTCTGATATCTCAAGAGTTTTCCAGCCGTTTTTTTAACTTCGCCACAATAAATTTCCATCCATTCTCTAAAGCAAAGTTTGGCGTGCCTGCGGCGCGCCGTTTTTAGCTATAGCGCGGCGAAAAAAGTGGGGGAGTTTAATGGCCCTCCACCTACCCATCCAGCAACTCGCCGGTAAGCCAGCAACGGCACACGCTCAGTACCTAATAACACATCAATTTGACATGTTCCCTGAAAATTTGAGCGAAATCTGTCGAATGTTTACATGAAAATGAAGTTTAAACGTCATTAACCCGCGCATGACTGGGGGGGGGCTCTACAGAGCCCCGCCTCCCGCTTTTCAGCAATATCTTCTAAACCATTTGACGAATCAACACGAAACTTGCGGTACCTTCAAAAGCATCAATTTGACACCTGGTGTCAAAATTTCAACTTTCTAGCTACCATACTTTGACCGGAAATGACGTCAGAGTGACGTCATGTCGGCCGATTTTCATGCAAAATACTGAATTACGGCAAACGCTCTCAAGAGCTCAGTTTTAAAGCTAGATCCATTTTCTTTGCATGAGTGGACTACGAATACACGTAGCTATCAAACTGACATCTCGAATTTTCGATATTTTGAAAATTTTGAAAAATATGTATTTACAATTACAAAAAATATATACCTATTTTTTGATTTTTTCAAAAAGTTTTGACTTTTCGCAAAAACCGGAATATATGTGATAGAACACACACTGATGAACTACATTTGCAAGTTTTAGCCCAATATCTTCAAAAATAGCCAAGTTATTCGCATTATTGTCAAAAATTTACAATTTTATGTTTTTTTAAATCCATTTTTCAGTACGTTTTTGACGTCGTACAGCAATATAAATGGCACCATCGTGTTCCTGAGCTCAAACTGCATCTGATAGGCACCTTTTTTGTTGAAAAATTTCATTTTCAAAATTTGACCTTTTCTGACCTGAAAGTGAGCTGAGCTCTGGTAAATTCAGCTGACAATGACCTCAAATGACACAGACGACACTATTTTCGAAATTATACGAGTAAAATGGACCATAAAACATGCGTCACGTAACCGATACATGATATACAGTTTTCGTGACCTAGGATGACCTGGCCTTGACCTTAAAAATTCGAAGTAAAAGTTTAGTACCCTCAGGGTATCTAAGGCATCCGTCAAAGAGTGCGTAAACCAAAATTGAGTCTGATCGGACCGGCCGTCCGGTGGTCAGAGCCTAAATTGTGAACTAGCAAAAATGTCGATAATTTTTACTTTGACCTGACCTGTGACGTCATCGGTGAACTCGAGGTCAATGAAAATAGGTTTCGTTCGACAGTTTTTCCAGGGCTACCAGACGCCGTTTGAATTTTGACGATCGGCCCAGTAGTTTCGGAGATAGGAGGGGGGCTCTGTAGAGCCCCACCCCCCAGTCACTCGCGTTATGGAAAATACCCCAGTCATGCGCGGGTTAAAGTTGAAGTTTGTGACGTCATGTCACCCCTTCCCTGAGAACAACACTGCATCTTACCTGAAATGGATGACTGCGAGCCACAGCTGCCACATGAGCTGGGCCATCCCAGCTGGATGATTGTCCTTCCCGTGCCTCACACTGATCGCCTGGCAGGGCCTTGACAGACGGACGGATGGACGGTTGATAGACGAACGGACAGACGGACGGATGGACGGACAGACGGACAGACGGACGTTGACAGGCGGACGGATGGACGGTTGACAGACGAACACTGAAGCAATTGGATGTTTATAAAATGTCAAAATGTAGAGATAGGGTAACAGAAAGGCAGAAGGAAGGAAGGAAGGACTACCAGAAAGACGGGAAGATGAGAGGTCAAACAGACGTTGACAAGACGTACGGAAGGGTGCAGTTGGGTGGAGACTTGGGGTGTAGGGTGTAGAAGGGTGCAGTAGCCCGCCCACCGGACGGTCGGGCTGCCGACTCAACAGTGACACCCTCACGGCCGAAGTGACGCTCCTGTGGACGGCCGGTCGTCTTTGTTGACGGTCGTTGCAGTGCCGTCGGCCCGGTGCCCGTGAGCTCGGTACGAGACCCCCACCGACCAGCCGCGGCCACCGATTGACGCGGAGCTGGACCCCCGCCGCCGCACGGATCGGCTAGATTGTGTGCTTTGTGCAAACTCGGGTCAGAAGCTATTGTGTTTACACACAGCAGCTAGCCCAGTGATGGTGCCCGGCGTCCCATGTGTGTGGTTATGTATGGTTCGGCGCGCGTGCGGTGTCGGCAATGGAAGAATGGATAGCTGTATCGTAATTGGGGACCACTGAAAGCCTTTCATTACCTGTCTGAAATTACTGTTTATTGTGCGACTGTGAAGATCGTTATTTTTTTCTTGTCGTGGCCACTGGCCTTGCAAATTGCAAACGTTAATAAGTCTTTTGTTAGCATGTTAATTAACCCTCGCCCTGGCAGGGGGGTCGATGCGACCCCCCCCCCCTAAGGTTTTTCGAAGATAGCGTAATAACGGCGGCGCGCAGCGCCGCCAAATTTGGCACAGCTTATGGGGCAACCTTTTTACATATGACCTGAAAATTTCAGGTCCAGGTGACCTTGGGTCAGGTCACCAGGTCAGAAAAACCGGTACAAGGTCATGGTCAAATTTCAATTTTCTTTTTGCACCTGTCCAACTCACAGTTTTGGACTGATTTCCTTCAAACTTTCAGGATGTGCGAAGTTCACCGAGTTGTATAACATATAGTTTGGGTTTTTTGAGGTCACTGACCTGACGTCAGTTAGAGGTCATTACGTCGTAATGTTAAGCATATGGGAAAATACTAAATTCGGAAAATACTGGAGATATCCGCTTCGTTCTATCACTTTTGTGCTTTGAAACCACAGTACTTAACAGCAGGTCACTTGGTGCTTGTTTGGTGTACTTATCCATGGGTCAGGTCAAATGAGGTCAACTGAGGTCAAATGACGTTTTTGCCAATAACTTGGCACATAATGACGCTAGAGCTTAAAACTTGGTATCGTTGTGTTCCTGGTGATCAACCGAATCGAATGATATGCGATATGATGCAATGTGGTTAACTTGAACTTAATTTATTAATTTAAGTTTACTTAAAATTTAAGAAAAACTTTAAGTACACTTAAGCAAGCTAAAAAGTATATCATTCGACGCGCCTTGACATGCTGAGTTCACTGGTGCTTTTCTTTTTGCTCTATCTTAATTAGATCAAAAGTTATAAGCGAAACACTTTTGATCTGTTTTTAAAGAAATTTTTACATTAAAACCCCCAAAACCCCCCTAAATATTGACCTAGAGCAACCAAATTTGCACAGGGGTGAGAACTCCAGTGGGCCCACCTACCTACCAAATTTGGTGTTTCTAGGTGCCATAGGAGCCAATCGCGAGGGGGGTCGCATCGACCCCCCCCCCCCTGCCAGGCCGTGTTATGAAAAATGCCCTGCCAGGGCGAGGGTTAATGCTTTTATTTTTTGTTGTTGAAGTCGGGCGACTTGTTTCCCGCACCGTGACGATAGTCTGAGCATAACACATAACACGACACATGGGGGAGGGTCGTCGCCGCCTCCTCTTTCTGTGCGTAGAGAAATCAAATTGGTCAGCCGCAAGGGATCAACCACAGATTTTGCACCTCGCATCTTTTTTAGAACGACTCTTACACTTCCTCCGATCGCTCGTATAGCGATTTGTTGCTCTTCAATCAACTAGTCGATGTTGATGAAAAGTACGGATGAATAGTGCTGGTTAAATGAATAAATAAAAAAGCATTTCCCACTAGCATTGCTATATGATGTCCTTCCAATGTTTTGTATGCTGCATGGAAACGAGAAATAAGTAAAGCAAGAATGTAATGATGCATTCTTAGTAGGCTACCATTTGAAATATTTCGGACACTTATAATAATGCAATATATCACAACCGTCACATTCACATCATGTCTAAAGTCTAAACCATCGATCACCCACCAAGTTCTTGCTCGACAGCGCCGTCACAAGCCCACTGTGTCGATGGCATTCGAGGTCTCACGACTCACGGCGTGGTGTCCCTGTCATAGACGGCAGAAAGACGAGGCTGCCGCACACGAATTTTGCCCCAGTGGGGACACATTCGCGGCGCTGACACGCTCAGTCGAGGGGGAGCAGCTGCGGGCGAGAGAGATCGGTCGGCGTTCGGCCCGGCCCGGCCCGGCTGACGGCCGATGACGGGGTGACATGAGACGGATGACGGATGACGGTTACGATGATGTGACGGACGCGACGGCTGCTTACGAGCGCAGCGCGCGCACGTACGCCATCATGGCATCGTAGCTGACCTCGCAGGTGTGGAAGACGGCCTGGCAGGCTTCGGCGCCCTGGGCGCTGCCCAGGTAGGCGGCGTAGAAGTAGGCCTGACGCGGCGTGCTGACCTGCTCTTCGGTGAGCGCGGCCGGCGCCTTTCCGAACAGCTGCACGATCAGCTCGTCCTCGGCGGTGAGCTGCTGCTCGGGCCGCGCCTCCACCAGGCAGACCAGCTTGAGCGCGCAGCCGTACACGTCGGCGGCGGCCACCATGTCGAGCACCATGTCGGTCTGCTGCTGCGCGGCCACCGAGCGCTTGCCGCGCCGGCTGAGCGCCAGGCCGCCGACCAGCGCGGCGCCCAGCGCCAGACCAGCGACGCCGGCCAGCGCGATGCCGGCGCTGGCGGCGCCGACGCCGACCGTGCCGGCGGTGCCGATGATGAAGGTGGCGTCCACGGTGAGCAGCACGGCCGTCAGGGCCACGACGACGCGAGAAAAGTGCATCTTGACTGCGGAATGAGAACAGGACTAAATAGATTGTGTTCAATTTTGCAACCGCCATCCCCTCATGACTAAGCAAAGGGGATCGTTTTATTCTGCACTGTCACCATGTCATTGTTGTGTGCCTCGTTGTATGTTAGTCATATAATATTCTTGTTTCGACTTCTTACTATTGGACTACCGCTTAGATGACCTAAATAAAACCTAGAAGGACTGGTACTCTTTCTAAAAACTGTTAAATAGTTGATATAATACGTAACAAGTGATTAAATAAATGAGACCTATGTTACAGTCGCGCTATCTCGACAAGCCAGCTAGATCCTGCAATTAAAACTCACCGAGGTTTTGGAAGTTAAAATACCCAAGGAAGCAACCAACTGAACTTGAATCAGCCTCAGCACAGGACTTATATATTCGGCCATGGCTCGTGGGTCTCCTCTATTTGACCGGGCCCTCGATTGGCCGTTCGAGCGAAGGTCCCTGATTCCGTGTGCCGTCCTCGAGACCTTGTCACCACGTGCTGGTCGTGTTTGAGTGCACCTGCGCCAGGAAGTAGCCGTATTATTGCATCATCCAGCATTCAGAGATATTTACATGCCATTGGGTGCCAACTGCCAACTGCCAGTTCACCGTGACTGTATAGTGTATTTTGAGAGCGAGGGCACACGGTAAGACATTTCCGTGGATATAATGCTAAGATGAACATCAAAAGCTATTGTGTCACAAACAGGGTGATTTATGTGTAAAGGGTAACTTTGTCTAGAACTATATCATACGGTAGTTGCCTGCGCTAGTGGTCTACGACATTGTGTTGATGCTTAGACATTATTATTTAGCCTGACCTTATCCTTTTTTAGTCGTAACAGTATTGTTCTAATGGTCCAATCAGTGCTCAACAGAAATGGCACCTGTAATTTTTAATCCTACACCGGTGCATTTTCATAGGGCCATTTCAATAGTGTAAAGGGCTTAGATGGCGGGTTCTTGTTCCCTCCCTCTGGAAAGTTTAGCACCTCGCGCCGGATTGCCGGGTGCCCGCACAGGGAATATACGGCCACGCCAGCCACTGCTATACTCGTATGTTTGCAGCACAACGCAAAGTATATCAATAGTGGCTACTGTATGTCACAAAGAGTGAATTAGTGACAATACCTGTACAGTTGTACACGGAGGACATTTAGCATTGTGGCATGTTCCTCGGGATGAATTAATCATTTTCATTATGGCCTGGTGGCACTGTGCACGGCCAGTGCGGTACAATGCTGCAATAAATCCGGCAAATAGCAAATGGTTCTAAATACAAGCTATTCCGCAGAGAAACGTGGAATAATATCACAGTCCTGTAGGCCATCATACTGCGCTTAAAAGCACACTGTTTCAGCTGATTAATGTCACCACTAAGGCCATAAAAGCTTGTTCAGAAGTGCTTGCCTGTCCTTGCTGTAGTGATCATTAGTTATTGGCCCATGTGGTGAATAAACCATGGTGCCCACTGCCCAACCATAATCGGAAAACAAGTGATAAAGTGAATCGAAAGCCTAATGGGGCCTAAGAACGTCCTGGCCACGGCGAGGTTTAATGACAAGCTGCTAAATGATATTTTAGTGGACTTAATGACTTGAAGTGGCACGTAAAATGGCATTCAAGTGCCAATGCAAGATCTCATCTTGAACTGCGGCAGTGGTCTCCCAAAAATGCCGACTAGGATGACATAGGTAATTCATTGACGATAGGTCTGAATCACCGGCTAAAAGGCTTCATTCGTTTTCGTCACAGCTCGCTGGTTGCTGGTCACCGTCAGCCAGTCAGGCTGTTTCAGACCTACCAACTGACCATCCGCAGTCTACCGACACACACACTGAGCGTACTGCATGTAGAGCGATATCATGGTGGTTGGAATGGAGCTAGAGAGGCTCGGCGGCGCGGCGGACTTTACGCCTGACATGACTGGCTTGACGGCCGACCTTACCCTGGCTGGATCGTGACCCGCCTTATTTTGCGTCTGGACGTGTCACAGGAAGGCGCCCCTGTGTGTTCTGACGTGGTCGGCACACAGGACGACACACAGGCTCGCTGGGGACGCAGACGAACACCATTTCCGTGGGTACACTCCACACCGGGACCGGGGGAAGGGCGGTCGCCTTGCGTCAGTACCTGGCCTACATACAATGGGCGCCGGCCGGGAGACGGTGCCCGGGGCGACGATCTCTGGCTGCTTCAACGAGCGCCGGTCGGAGCTGCAGCATATAAACGGTGAAGGCACGGGGAGGGCGAGACTACTACTCTCTCGACTCGACTCAGCGGCACAGTTACTGTCCGACCCAGGTGAGGAAGGGAATGGAAGTGGTGGGATGGTGTAAGGTCATGTCAACCACTGTGTCGAGTCTCCTGAATAGTCACTACCCAGATCAAGCAGCCCTCCGAAATTGCTATTAGTTATTGTTCAATGAGCTGTACTAATTTGGATTATTCCAATGCAGTAATCATACAAAAGATCTCTGAAACACAATTTCACTTCTAAGAGCCCCTTTCAATCAGAATTTGCATTTGTTATTACATGCGCAACTAAGTGGAGACAAAAATTATTTTGGTTCACATGACGTCGAGAAATGTTAGTTTACTCAAAGTAAGAAGTGTCATGTTCACCAAAATCCACCGGTTTACAAAATCCATCGAAAAGCAATCCATTTGCATTACTTTTCTATATGGTTGGCTATAAAACTCTTGCATTTTACGTCTTTTTTATCTAGGAAAAGAACATTTCTTCTTATAGGCGTGTACTAACTATTCTCATCTCAAAATCGCCTCTTTAGCATAGTTCCGTATTACAGTCCCTGTTTTATTTTGTGATTTTTATTGTTTGTCGATGTGAACGTAGTATACCTATAGCTCATACTAGCTGCACTGAGGGATCTTGTTTTCCTCGTTGGCGGGGGGGGGGGAGCTCCTTAACAAATATATGTAATAGCTCCAGAACGCTTAGAGATGTAAGCAACGCGAAACTTTCGGCGCCTTTTTCCCCATCAGCTTGGCATGTTTCGAAGTAAGACAAATTTGATCTAGCTCTTTCAATGTTGTCACAGGGCTCATTTTTCTAGAATCCTGCAAAGCTAAATTTGACGCCACAGTCATAAACTTGAAACAGCTTTTTTAGATAGTTAAGCCAAAATACGAGAATGCCTGTGTAGCATATGAGCTTAAAAAAAAAATCGACAAATAATTTTTGTGACCTTAGGTCAGGTCCCCAGGTCAGGTCACCAGGGCAGGTCAAGGTTCTGTCATTGGTCCCGGTAGAATGCCAGCGCTCCTTCTTCCGACGCTGTTCAGCTCGACGTCCGCTAACGCCTTCTCTCTCTCTCTCTCTCACTCTCTCTCTCTCTCTCTCTCTCTCTCTCTCTCTCTCTCTCTCTCTCTCTCTTTCTCTCTCTCTCTCTCGCTCTCTCTCTCTCTCTTTCTCTCTCTTCCTCTCTCTCTCTTTCCCTCTCTCTCCTCCAGCTATGAACTGCCGCGCTCTCGTTCTGCTCACGGTGGCCGTGCTGGCCAGCTACTCCGAGGCCGTGATCGTGCTCACCACGGCAGCCGCGGCGGGCACGGTGGGTGTAGGCGCCGCCACGGCCGCCGTAGCTCTAGCCGGTATCGGCGGCTTGGCCCTGGGCGCCGGCCTGGGCGGACTGGTAGCAGCCGGCGGCCGCCGCCGTCACAAGCGCTCAGTTGAGGAAGTCGCCAAGGAGGACACCGTCTTCAACCTGGTGGCGGCCTCAGACAGCTACGGCTGCGCCCTGAAGCTGGTCTGCCTGCTGGAGGCCAAGCCGGACGACCAGCTGGGCGAAGACGACAAGTTCATCCTGAACATCTTTGGGTGAGTGGGGAGGGAGGGAGGGGGATATACAGGGCGAGTAACGGGGAGAGTGTCTGTCAGAGATCGACATCGCTGAGGAGGGAGTGTACTGTTATCAGACAAGGAGTAGGGGAGGGCAGCCGTCTGCGGGGGTGGAGGGAGGGCTGTCTGGTAGAGAGAGCGGGAAGTCTGCTCAGCAACGAGATCAAGGCCGACTATATTCTGTCTCAGTTGCATGAATTTGCATATCTGATTTTATGGGGGAGGTATTGTGCGAAGGACTAGTGTATCGTTTTGTACGTGAGCAGAAAAGAAGCATAAAGTTGTGCAACGGCGAGCTCTCTGCGTGTTGTAATGTTAATGATGCCACAGTTTTATTATTATTGGCTCATGATCCGTGCGTGACTTTCTAATCCTTATCTAGCATGGTCCGTTGCACTTCCTGGTGGGGCGTGGGCACTTACGGCCTTCAATTAAATCACACTTTCCCTTCCTTTATCGTAGATCCTGATCAAATGTATTGTGTCGCTCAGTATCGCATATGCTCAGTCCTGTTCTCCTATGACCAGACAACTCTTATGCTGGCCTAGATTGAAGTTGATCAGTAACCGTTCCAATCACGACATTTCCTGGACGTCTTTACTCCGGTCTCCGACTGTTCTATCTTATCCTTGTATTCTATCTTATATCCTTATTATATCTTATCCTTATCGTACTGACCTGGGTGACTCGATCTTTTTTCTATTTGACGCCTGTAACCCTACCGGGAGTGGGAAACCGAAGATTCTGCGCTAACCTGACCTGTCTAGGTCCAATTCAAAAGTAGGGAGCCGAAAGGCTCAGACTTTCCCTTTCCCTAGTCTGGCCTGCCCTGACCTTGCCCTGACCTGGCCTGGTCTGACTTGACCGGTTTGTGACCCTTAGACAGCCGAGAGTCGGACCTGACCTGACCTGATCTGACCTGACCCGACCTGTCTGTGACCCTTCCTACAGCCGAGAGCTGGACATGACCTACCTGCCTGTGACCTGACCTGACCTGACCCGACTTGCCTGTGACCTCCTACAGCCGGGAGCCGGACGTGACCTGACCTGACTTGACCTGACCTGACCTGACCTACTTGTGACCTCCTACAGCCGGGAGTCGGACCTGACCTGACCTGACCTGCCTGTGACCCTCCTACAGCCGAGAGCTGGACATAACCTGCCTGTTACCTGACCTGACTTGACCTGACCTGTCTGTGACCTCCCACAGCCGGGAGCCGGACCTGACCTGACCTGACCTGACCTGTCTGTGACTTCCCACAGCCGAGAGCCTGACCTACATACATACATACATACACATTTATTTTCAACATTACAAATGAGCAAAACATACACAAAAATATTATAAGATTGGTGCAAAAGAATAAAAATTCTTAAATTAAAGCACCTCTCTTAATCAATCAGTATAAAATAAACATGAGTATTACATAAAAAACACAACATAATATGAAAACAAGTCTGTTTGACCACCGCCAAGCCGCGCCACACCCACCGCTCGCTGGTTGAAATTAAAGTTGCTACCCCCAGGCGACACGACGAACCGTCCGGCCCGCCGTCCGCCGCTGGATGCTATTGGTTCTAGAATCTTTTAGTTTTGATAATATAATTTTGGAATAATTTCGCTACTTTGATCTGATCGTTTTTGTTGAGGCCTCTACCATACAGCAATAAGTTAAGTTTAGATACGCTGTTACAGTTGTTAAATATGGGTATAATTATTGAAACTTGTCCGAAAAGTTCAGAGCGTAGCACTTGGAAACGGGGACAATTTAGAACGAAATGTGCTACAGTCTCTTTTGGGCTCCCACACTCACAGCAGGGAGAAGAAGATTTTTGGATTTGGTAGAGATGAGCTTTTAGGACAGTTGCGTTCAACCTAAGTCTTGCATGCTGAATGTTTCCAAACTTTGATCCAGTATTATTATATGGTGGGACGGTCCCTACACAAAGTCTGGTCTCTATCGCTCGTTGGAAGGATTTGAGGCTGGGATCGGTTCTGATGGATTCTGGTAAAATGTTCCAATCTCTGGTCGTCTTAGGAATAAAAGATTGTTTAAAAAGTGATGTTCTGTTGTTTGGGAGTGTGAGATTGGTGGCATTGCGAAGAGCACGACCCGTGTTGTCTTGTCTGGTTTGTGGTAGTATGTCCCTTATGTATTGCGGCAAGTCAGCGAAATGATTTATCAGCTTGTTGTAAAATATCAGTCGGTGTTTTTTTCGTCGTGTTTCTAAGGTGTCCCAGCCTAGGTCTAAAAGGAGCTTGTTATGAGATGTGTTAAATAACGCACCCGTCACTAGACGTGCTGCCCTTGCGTGTAGTCGTTCTAGTCGTAGTTTGTCTTTGGTCGTTATTAGTCCGTCGTATACAATGTCACTGTAGTCAAATATTGGAAGTATATAGGTGCTGTATATCTGGTTTAGGATGTCACGTGGTAAATATTTAGCGATTGGATATAGGGGACTTAGCGCAGTATTAACCTTTTTAATTATGATATTGATGTGGTTGTGAAATCTCAGATCCGTCGATAGTGTAAGACCGAGGTGAGTGTGACTACTTGACAGAGGTATGCAACTGTCATCGAATGACAACGATGGTGAGTGAGAAGACGTCACGTGACTAAAAATTACCTGTTTGGTTTTAGCCGCACTAAAACTGATGAGCCAATCTGTACCAAAGTTAGAAATTATATTAAGGTCAGTTTGTAAGGATTTAAAAACTTCGTCTCGGTTTGAGTCGGCTACGGGTCGCTGCCCGGGAAGCGCAATGAGCTGTGAGGGGTTTCGTGAGTATGATGCGTATAGTGATGTGTCATCTGCGTAAAATAGAGATTCGTTATGAGTGATGTCAGCGAGGTCATTAAGGTAAATGAGGGCAAGTAATGGACCCAGGACGCTACCTTGCGGGCATCCGGTATTAATAAGACGGGGCTGAGAAAAATTGTCATTAACACACACTCGGATACTTCGGTCAGCTAAATAAGACTTAAGCCATGCATGAAGTGTACCTGTAATTCCGAATAGTGTCTTGCATTTATATAAAAGACCTGCGTGCCAAATTTTGTCAAAATATTTACTTATATCTAAAAATATTGTTGTAAAATCGTTGCCAGTATCGAGTGCGCTGTACAGTTTGTGTGTGAGGTAAACAAGTTGAAGGTGAGTACTATGATGTGGCCTGTAGCCGCTTTGTTTGTCGGTAAGAAGATTATTTTCGGTTATGTGACTGTAAATGCGGTTAAAAATGATTTTTTCAAAGATTTTAGAAATGCAGGGTAAAAGACTGATGGGTCGATAGTTTGATGGATCTGATGCTGAGCCTTTTCTCTTAAAAATAGCGTGAACCTTTGCTTCTTTCCAAATTGACGGAAAATGACCTTGATTTATCGATTGATTAAAAAGTTTAGTTAGTGGTGTCACTATTAAAAGTGCTACTAGTTTTAAAATTTTTGGTGGGAGATTATCGGGACCACATGATTTGTTTACGTCAAGTGAGTTTAAAAGATTAAGTACTTCTCTCTCCGTAATAGTTATTGTATTTAAGATCGGAACCGGGGATTCTGGCGTTAAAACTGGTATTTGTTTGTCACTGGTCTCTAATATTGACTGATTAGCAAAGTAATTACAAAGTAAATTGGCTTTATCGTTATCATCAGTTGTTGTCTCACCGTCTGGTTTGATGAGTGGTGGTAATACGTGCGTTTTGGATCTTCCGGTCATTTGCCTTAAAATATTATGGTATTTGTGCGGATTGTTTTTCGTAGATAAAAGTTGCTGTACTTGATTTATCCTATACGCTTCTTTTAATTTTTTATTTAGTTCAGTAGCTACGTTTCTCTGCCGTCTCCATCTAGCCCAGCACTCGTCTGTCTGTAGTTTGAGCGCCTTTCTGAATAGTCTGTCTCGTTTTCGGGCTTCCCGTTTTAGTTCATTATTGTACCATGGCTTGCTATTTGGTCTAGTGCGTATTATTCTAGTCGGTATTGCTTTGTCTGCTGCGCTCAAAATTGCATGTGTAAAATCCACGGTGGCCTTGTCAGTGTTTTGATTAATAATATTATCCCAGTCAGTTTGTAAAAGTTCGTTTGTGAGCATATCTGCGTCGAGTAGGTGGAAATCTCGTACCGTCTTTGTAGTGCTCTCTGTAATTGGTTTTGTTATTTTCACTGTTACGTATACCGGAAAATGGTCAATCTGGGAGAATGGGGAAGCCACACCATGGTCGACCACCTGGTCTCTGTCAGATATAAAAATTAAATCTCTTAAATTTGCAGTGCTAGCGTTTGGCCTAGTTGGCTGGTCTATTAATTGAAAAAGATTCAGAGAGGACGCCATGCCTTCTAGCTGTCTTTCGAATGAAGTGATTTCGCTGTGATTTTGATGGCTTTTGTGTAGATAATTGTTACCGGCGTTAAAATCTCCTGCAATTAGAATCATGGTCGGATTGAGGGATTGAGCGAGTGCCACACTTTCGCCTAATGTCTCTAGAAATTCGTGCAACTTGTCTTGAGACATTTTTGGTGGGATGTAGACACAACATACTATTATTGTTTGTTTCTTTATTTTTATGAGCGTCCAGATCCACTCTGTGCTTCCAATTTCGAGTTCTGGTAAGCGTTTTGCTGCAAGTGAAGTCTTAAAATAAACAGCTACACCACCCCCGTGTCTAGAGCGATTTTTCAGATACGGTTCGTGATAATTATCGAGTTTATAAAGGCTAGGGTGTATCGTATTGTCTAACTTTGTTTCTGTCAACATGAGAATGTCGGTCCCAGAAGAGTCAGCAAAGTCAGATAGTTCGTCTAGTCGGTGTGGTGAGGTGATGCTATTGATGTTCACGTGGGATACTTTAATGCTCATGTTATCGCTACTGAAAGGACCAGGGTTCGACTCTATTCCAGATTTTAAGAGTAATGCGGGGGTGTCGTGATATATGTTCAGGATCCACCATGGGATATGAGGAGAGAGGGAAGTAGTAGGATGTGGGTGGTTATGAGAGCGATAGTTACCAGAGTCCGTGCAGGAGCCAGCAGAGAAGTAAAGTACCAAAGAAGATGGTGCCAAACAGGTGACCGGGTTGTAGGCTGGCGGAGTGGGGAGCCCAAGTTGTTGGTTAGCGTCAGGAGAGGTTGATGGTGCCCTCCAGCTGGCGGAGACGGGACGGGCGGCCGGCGGCGCACCTGGAGGCAGCGGGTAGCATGGAGTCAGTGAAAGCGGCGTTGGGTTAGGCACTGCATGCACGGTGACCGGAGCACAAACATTATTGTTTACGTTACAATACAGGCTAGGATAACTTATCTATACATAATATGATCGGTAGAATAAATAAAGTTAATTGACCTGACCTGACCTGACCTGACCTGACCTGTCTGTGACCTCTCACAGCCGGGAGCCGGACCTGACCTGACCTGACCTGACCTGTCTGTGACTTCCCACAGCCGAGAGCCTGACCTGACCTGACCTGACCTGTCTGTGACCTCCCACAGCCGGGAACCGGACCTGACCTGACCTGACCTGACCTGACCTGACCTGCCTGTGACCTCCCACAGCCGGGAGCCGGACCTGACCTGACCTGAACTGACCTGACCTGACCTGACCTGATCTGACCTGTCTGTGACCTCCTACAGCCGGGAGCCGGAGGCACCGGCCGTGGACGCCCTCCAGTCGGCGCGCGGAGCCTACGACTATGCCGCCTTCATGGGCCACAAGTTCGGCGCCGACTCCTGCGAGAAGCTGTTCCACACGTGCTCCTTCCAGTATGACGCTATGATTGAGTACGTGGCGCGCCTGCGCGCCTAGACAACTAGCACTACAAGCGTACCACGATACTCGTAAAGCAGTAGCTCATGTGACATAAGTGTTCATTGTTCCGCGTCACTGGATTCGGATTCGTTGACCTCTACTGTTCGGTGTGTGCGAAGTACCAAACAGGTCCATAGAAACGTAGTGTACACTCAACACGCCGCACTTAAAAGGTACAAATTGTAATATTTATGATTGATAATTTATTTGTGAATAAAATAGAGAACTTATATGGACGTCTTCATGATGCATGAGCGCTGTGTGCAAATAATGCGTTTTATTGGAGTTAATAAGCGCCTGCATGTGTTTGGTATGTAGACTGTGGGTTATTGCAGATGTCAGTGGCTAAGGTAGGCGACGTTGCCATGGTAGCCGTTGTCAGGTAAAAAATGTGCTTCGAAGGTGTTGTGTTGCCTCTTCACTGTGGCCTCGTGAGAGGCGGGCGGCCGAAAACAATCACCGGAACTGCCGGACATGTATTCTGGCCGCCGCACAACAAGATGCCAAAAACCCACGTGACCAACGCCTACGCCGCCATTACCGGAAGTCCACCCCGGACTTAGTAGTGGGCCGATGCCGGTGACTAAACACGAGACGAGAGGGCGGTGAGCGTTCTTACAATCGTAGTGCCTATCAAATAAGAAACTAAGCACGACTACAACGCGTGGGCATGAAACGTCTACATTTTACAAATCACCTTGGCGCCGGTTCGGAATTTGCAATCAGCTGACACGACTTGGGTCTTCCCTAAAAATAACAAAGCAACCTCGCACAATTCTGGCGCAGCTGATACGAACACTGAACAGCGCAACTAAATTCACGACACAACACCACCCCTCTCTTTGAGGGAAAACACACCCTATGAAAACACCCAGGCACAGGTACGGTGCTGAGCTAAACTGTACACGCGCAAACTCGCCTAACCTACGGCGAGAAACGCTTCCGCGGCCTACGCACCCTACGGCTGCGGCGCGGGGCCGCATGCTCGTCAGGGGCGGCACCGACTGGCGCCGCTGGGACAGGACTGGTACCCCTGGGCGGCTCGGGACACACATCATCGGTAGGAGCGGGGTCCACGGTCACAGGGGCTGGGTCAGTAGGCTCGGGCTCGCCCCCGACTGGGTAAAAGGTCCCCGGCACCTCGCGATCAGCTTCCCCCGGGCGGCCCGGTACCAGGCGCCTGGCATGCACCCGCTCACCTGTGGCCAGCCTGTAGCTGACCGGACCGGTCCTGCGGCTCACCTGCACAGAGCGCTGCCCCTCGACCCGGCCCGTCCCGGGCTTCCGTACTCGCACCCAGTCGCCAGCTTCCCATCGCGGGGCGGCCGTGGCGGTGCGGTCATACCGGGCCCTGTAGGTCTCCTGGTACGACTGGTGATGCTGCCGGACAGCTCGATCCTCGGCAGCACGGCCGGACGGGGTCACATCGGACGGGGTCACATCGAGAATCGTCCGCGCCTCCCGCCCCCTCATCAAAACAAAGGGCGACACTCCGGTCGCCGGGTGGACCGTGACCCGGTACTCACCCAGGAACTTTCTGACAAACGTCGAGCGCGGCTCCCTCGCCAGGCGAGCCGACTGGATGGCTTCCTTAACCGTCCGGTTCAGCCGCTCGACCATGCCGTTGGTCTGCGGCGAATAGGGCGAACTAAACGTCTGTTTGACGCCCATGCGACCCAAAAACTCGGCGAGTCGGCCCGACCGGAACGCAGGGCCGTTATCTGACAGTAGCTCCAGCGGCACACCTTCGCGAGCGAACACTGTCTCCAGGAACTGGCAGATACTGTCTGCCGTCGCGTCCTGGCAGAGCGCGACCTCCGGCCACCGGCTGTACATATCGACGAGCACAATGCCGTAGCGCTCAGACGACGGACCTCTCATGGGACCGATCACGTCCACCATGAGGCGCTGCCACGGTCCATCTGGGAGTGGGATGGGCTGGAGGGGCGGCCTCTCCCTCCGCACGTGCCCATCGTGCTGAGAGCAGACCTCACAGCTCTTCAGCAGGTCACGCACCTGCCGGTCCAGGCGCGGCCACCAGAAACGCTCACGAAGCCGCTGTTTTGTGCGGACCACCCCCTGGTGGCCCGCGTGCGCGTTAGTCAGAACGCGCTCGCGCAGCGCCGCTGGCACCACCAGCCGGTCACCGCGGAGCAGCAGCTGGCCATGTACGGACAGCTCGTCCCGTACCTGAAAGAAACCAGCTGCTCGGGGGTCAACGTCCCTCTGGCGGGGCCACTGCCCGGACACGTACCCACGGACGACGCTGAGACACTCGTCGGCCGCCGAGGCGTCACTGAGCTCCTCCTCAGAGATGGCTGCTGCCACCGTCAGAGCTGCAATCTGGAGATCGTCATCATCCGGCCACCAGGTCTCGGCTACCGGCAGCCGTGACAGGCCGTCGGCCACGGTGTTCCGCTCCGAGCGGACGTACTCAACGTCGAAAGAAAACTCGAGCAGGCGGGCCTCCCACCGCGCGACACGCCGGCCGACGCGCGTGGAACCCTTGGGACCGAAAATAGGACACAGAGCCTGATGATCCGTGCGCAGAGTGAATTTCCGCCCCCAGAGATAGTGGCGAAACTTCTCACAGGCCCACACCACGGCCAGCGCCTCCTTCTCCACAGTGGAGTAGTTACGCTCGGCCGGAGAGAACGACTTAGACGCGTACGCGATGACCCTGGGCGACCCCGAGGCGTCGATCTGCGTCACACACGCGCCTGCTCCGACGTCGCTGGCGTCGGTCGTCAGCACCGTGGCGAGCGCGGGGTCGAACATACCCAGCGCCGGTGACTGACGGATGGCGTCCTTGACGCGCTGGACGGCGCTGGACAGCGCCGGCGACCACTCGAACTTGTCAGCGCGCAGCGCAGCTCGCAGCGGCTCGACCAGGTCCGAGTACCGCGGCATGAAACGGGCGTGGTAGCCCGTGGCTCCCAGGAAGGCGCGGAGGCCCTTCTCGTCCTGTGGCTCTGGAGCCTCCAGCAGCGGACTGATCCGCTCTGGGTCGATCTGCACACCGGCCGCTGAGATCCTGTAACCGAGGAAATCAACGTCACGGCAGCCGGTGGCACTCTTGGACCAGTTCACTTTCACACGGTGGTCCTCCAACCGCCGCAGCACCTGCTTCAGGCGAGCGTCATGCTCCGCCTGGGACGGTGCGTGGATGATGATGTCGTCGAGGTACACCTCCACCCCGGGGATGCCCTCCAGCATCGACGTCATCACCCTCTGAAAACAAGGGCCGGCACTCGCCAGACCAAAGTTTACACGGCGGAACCGGTACAAACCCTTGTGGCTGACAAACGTGGTCAGGTTCTGGCTGTCGGGATGCAGCTCCAGCTGGTGGTACGCGTCCTTCAGGTCCAGCCTGGAGAACATCAGCGAACCACGGAGCCGATCGAGAACGTCCTCAATCCTCGGGAGAGGATGACCATCCGTGATGACCGCCTGGTTCACCCTCCTCATGTCAACGCAGAGGCGGATGGCACCGTCCCGTTTCCTGCCAACGACCAGTGGTGAGATCCAGGGAGACGCGCTCACCTTCTCAATCACGCCCTGGGCCTCCAGCTCATCAATCCGGGCACTCACTGCGTCCAGCACAGCCAAAGGCAGGCGGCGCAGTGGCTGGCGCACTGGTGGTACCCCTGGGTCAACTGTCACTCGGTGCTGGTACCCAAGGATAGCGGGTTGGGCCCCCGGAGAGGCTGGTAGCTCGTCAGGAGGGCTGGTGGGTTGGGCAGGCTCAGGAGAGGACACACAGGTGGGGTTGGTGGACACACTGCACACACGGTTGCCCACAATACAAACATCAAACACTTCCATCAGGTCAAGGCCCATCAGAGCGCGTCCTGACGGCACAACATACACTTTGACCAACTCGGTTTTCCCCCGGCATGACACATGAACACTTTTCACCCCCAGCACATTTAGCACGCTCCCCCCGTAGGCACAAAGGCTCTCCTCGGCTGCCCCGAGATCACCCTGCCCAGAGTCCCTCGGCAGGATGGAAACTGGAGACCCTGAGTCCACAGTGAAAGTTACCTTGAGCCCCTCTACCTCAGCATCAAGGGTCAGCGGCACGGCACTAGCCCCAACAGCTAGCACCTGGACACTAGAAACCACACTAGCACCGCAGTGCTGGGCAAAGTGGTTGGTCTTACCGCACTTGGAGCACTTCCTACCGAACGCTGGGCAGCTGCGGTCACCTCTGCGATGTCCAGGGCGCCCGCAGCCCCAGCACTCAGGGCCTGCTGTCTGCTGCTGTGGTTGCTGCCGTCTCGGCTGCTGCTGCCTCCCCTGCGGAAGCTGCTGCCGTCCTTCCTGCTGCTGGGCTGGGACCGGGCCGGAGCGTCGGCGTCTGGACCCCCCTCGCTGAAACTTCTGTGGCTGCAGGGCCTGGACAGGCACAGGCACGGCTGGTCCCTCGATCACCCTTGCTTCTCGTTCAGCAGACTCCAGGGTGTCGGCCAGAGTCAGGGTCTTCTCCAGAGTCAGACCTGACCCTTCCATGAGAAGCCGCTGCCTCAGCTTAGAGCTCACGGTCTTCTCAATCACCTGGTCCCTGATAAACTCGTCCATCTGGGCACCGTACTCACACGTGCTGGCCAACTGGCGCAGCACGGAGACCCACTGGCTGGTGGTCTCACCTGGTTGCTGCCCCCGGCTGCGAAAGCGGTAGCGCTCAACACAAACATTCTGTTTGGGAGCGAAATGGGCCTCGAGGCGGCGCAGGCACCATTGGAAGTCGTCCTCGCTTTCCAGCTTCTCCATGGGTGGCAGATTCTCAAACACCCGCTGCCCCTCCGTCCCTAGACAAGTCAGGAGGACAGCTTGGCGACGTGCGGGAGGGAAAGCGTCACCTCCGACCGCACACAAAAAGTTCTCAAACATCCTGACCCACCGAGGCCAGGGAATCGCCGGCTCAGCTCCAGCGGTGGGCAAAAACGGCGCGGGAGCCGCCGCGAAATCCATGGTGAAAAATCACTGTTCGAAGTCCTCAGTCGCCACTTTGTTGTGTTGCCTCTTCACTGTGGCCTCGTGAGAGGCGGGCGGCCGAAAACAATCACCGGAACTGCCGGACATGTATTCTGGCCGCCGCACAACAAGATGCCAAAAACCCACGTGACCAACGCCTACGCCGCCATTACCGGAAGTCCACCCCGGACTTAGTAGTGGGCCGATGCCGGTGACTAAACACGAGACGAGAGGGCGGTGAGCGTTCTTACAATCGTAGTGCCTATCAAATAAGAAACTAAGCACGACTACAACGCGTGGGCATGAAACGTCTACATTTTACAAATCACCTTGGCGCCGGTTCGGAATTTGCAATCAGCTGACACGACTTGGGTCTTCCCTAAAAATAACAAAGCAACCTCGCACAATTCTGGCGCAGCTGATACGAACACTGAACAGCGCAACTAAATTCACGACACAACAGAAGGGTCAGACATTTTGTTTTTCTCAACGACAATGACAATAACTTAACCCTCGCACGACCAGGCCATTTCTCATAACACGAACGACCAGGGGGGGTTGTTACGACCCCCCCCTGGCGTTTCGAAACGGAAGGTCGTAGAGCTTAGCGGAAAAAACCAACGGATTGCTCTCAACGAGATCTCGCGATTGGTGGTATATTTTTTGGTCCTAGGTCAACATTTGACCTACTTTTGATCGGTCAAAGGTCAAATTTTCGGAAAAATATACTTTTTTCAACTTTCGGCGGCAATTGCGGCAAAACGGTGGGAGATATCGACTTGAAACCTTCACTATCGTGTTCCTTGATCAATTCTCTATCGTTTGGTATGTATTTCGTTTCCCTAGCTCTAAAAATGGCGCGTTGGGAGCGCCGGAAGTCGGCAAGGTCACAGTCGGCGGCAGAAATTCGAAAAATCAAAATTTAAATTTTTGAAATCTGATTGTATTTTTGGATTTGGGAGGTCCATTTGCTCCCTATAGAAGCTAATATTGCTGCATATTCCCATTGAGGTGACAAGAATTAGCAAAATAGTGGTTCGGGCGCTTTTCAAAAATAGTACCGGACGCTGTTCCTCTTGTGACGTCATAGCTCCGTGACCTGACCTGACCCGGTCAAATTTCTTATACCATATTATAGCCAATACTTGCCCCAACATGCATGGGAAGTTTCATCACGATCCATCAACCGATGTCCGTACCACCGGCAGGAAACCTCGGGCGTTGGCACTCAGTTTGTGAAAATCCGGCCGGAGGCTGTACCTCTTATGACGTCATAACTCCGTGACCTGACATGACCCGATCAATTTTTTTTCGTCAAAAGATGCGCAAAGGTTGCCCCAGAGGGTATTGAAAATTTCAGCCCGCTACGACAAGCCGTTTAGCGTGCACTTCGAAAAAACCTCAGGGGGGGCTGATACAACCCCCCCCCCCCTAGGCGTTCTAGGGTTAACAATAACAATAACTGACAATAACTTATTACATTGTTTTTGTATTGTCATTGTCGTTGAGAAAAACAAAATGTGCTTCCTTCCAAACGGCACATGATAATCAGACTAAATTGATCGCGGATATGATTTGGTTCCAATAACTATTCAATTTTCATGTCAAAGCCGGGGTCAAATGATGGGAAAATAAAATGCCTCCAGATTGTCCCGTTTGAAAAAAATAGCAACAAAGCAAAACTTATGCCAGGCTATAGCCAAGTATCGAGGAGTATTTTCCCCAACGCCCGGCCAAACTGATCAAATGTCAAATTCAAGGTTGAACGATGGAGAACTGGAAGGCATCCATAGATACTATCCGCTTTAAAATATTAAGGCATTTAAAGTGCAGCTTGTTCCTAGCCATCATTCCCTCATTTTTGTGATTTGTTGAAGTCAAAGTTTTTTTGCGTTTTTTTTTATTTTGCTGGAATTTGAGTTATTTAGCGCAACTTTGTCAAAACTAAACATGGATTTAACCCTCGCCGGACCTATCGGTTTTCTACATACGCGCCGGCCGAGGGGGGGCGGGTACGACCCCCCCCCCCTTGCCGTTTCGCCCCTGGTGGAGCTAGCGCGTCGCGGAAAAAACGAGCGTGTGCGCCGTTACGAGACGCAGAGATTGGTACCCGATTTTAAGGTCCTAGGTCAACCGGTGACCTCTGAGGTCAGGTCAAGTGCCCCAGGGTACGGTTCAGTTTTTGGTGAATAACTTCGCAAAAAACGGCCGCATAGCCGCGATTTTGGCAGCATCGTGTTAGCCTCGCTCAGGCGCGTCGAATGATGTCCTTTTTGTTCGGGTCAGGTCAACCTGGGGTGTTGACCTCAGGTCAAGGTCAGGTCAGCACCCTAAGGTCACGAAGTAGGTCGAAAGAGGTCATGTCGCATATCATTCGATTCAGCAGGTCTTCCTGAGTCCATTGGTGGCTTTCCCCGACTCGCTAGCTTAATTTGATCAAGAGTTATTGACGAAAAACGAATATGACCTTGATGACGTCATAAATGACGTCACGCAAGGTCAACATTGCAAAGCGACGCATCTAACCTTGCAAGGAGTGCATCAAATCACGATTCTGTGTGCTTGAGATAGTTGGAGATCGTTCCCGGCGCCAGAATAGCAGTTTGAATTTTTCCCCATTGACTTATAATGGTGAGGTCATGAAAATGACCTGACCTCATATGACCTTTAGGAAAAATCCGAGATATACAAGTTGTGAGACTCATAATGGATACTAGATCCTGCAAGTTTCATTTCCCTGTGACATCTCCTCTGGCAGTGAGGGCGTTGCGAAGTTGCGACATCTGAAGACCGTGCAGAGGTTCACTTATGACGTCATAGGTCAGTGACCTTACCTGACCCAAAAATGTGGTTGGTGTCAAAAGATCCGGCTTGGATCAAAGGTCAGGTATGCCAAGTTTCAGCTCTCTATCGCCAGCGTGTTCGGAGCTATCACGAAAAAACCCTATGGGGGGGGGGCGGCACCCGCCCCCCCCCCCCCTCGGCCGGCGAGGGTTAAATCGATATAGGTGGAGGGTAATCACACCCCAGCCCTTACCCGAGCCATTAGTCCCCGGCCAGCCGCATTCCTACGTCAATACTTACATAAGACTTAGTGAATGATAAATGCCATAAGCGATGTCATTTAACAAGTCACACGCATGTCATTTCTCAGCTGCTACACTAAATATTGCAGGTAGGCGCATACCTATTTCCATTTGAAAATGAGGTACAGTCGAAAACCATCGCTTATAATGTCACTTTGCCCGCTTGACGTTTCAGGAAACCTTATGTCTGACAATGGGTAGAATGCATAAATTCACTGGCGACAGGAAGGGTGGCATGGAGACCATGGTTTCCTGTGACACCCTACTTTCAGCATTACATGTATAGCAGTACGTGATAAACTAGCTCCTTGACCATCAGTTTGGACGTTTGCTTGCACCCTCATACCCTTGGTCCCGGTTGGGCCCACTATATGTAGTACCTAATCATGAGGGTTGTGCTATCATGGGAAGCTACAATCGAAATGATTTCGGGCAAAATGGAAATGATTTGCTTTCTGCCGTCATAGTTTTCTACAGCATCTTTGTGAGCATGGGTATTGGTTAGTCTATAGAGTTCCAAGAAGGGTCGCCAACCCGTGGCCATCGAGCATATAACTTCACAATCCGTTAGGTGGTATTCGATACGGTAGCGTGAGCCGATGAGTCAATTGCTGGTGGGATGTCCGGTCCGCCGTTAAAATTCACTTTTCTGTAAATGGGTGTCCCAGAAAAGATCTACGGAAATTAAGTCGCATTAATTAACGCACGTGCCGATTTCTTTCCAACTTCATGTGCTTATAGTGCAAGATTTTGGCAAACTCATGCGCACTGTAATACGTCTTTGAAAGTTTCTGTCTGCCCTCCGAGATGGTCACATTACCATCAGTCACCTGCAGACTGTGCTAGTGCTGGAGGCTGATCCGCCGAAGGCCGCTCACATTGAGAATCGCATAGGATCAGAAACATTCTTACTGCTCTGAGCTCTCGCTCTACCTAAGCCGTGATTTCCATTATTGGTGTCCCTTTTGCCCTCGGCCTGTATGTATGTCCAAGGCAGATAATGCTGTCACCGCGGCCTCTCTGAGCATGGGGTGAACTTTGACATCACCATTGGGGTCTCAAACGTCCACGGGGGCCTCCATTTAGTGGGGCCTCCAAGCAATTAGGGGCCTCCAATTGCGGAAGCGGTATTTACGACCACGCCAGGGCCTCCTCTAAGAAATTTTCATTGGGGACCAGAGCTCAGAAGCCAAACCTAGGGTACCCCCAAATCCAGTTTTCGCATCGGATTTAGGCCACTTTTTTTCGTCACAGCTCTGATGCCATGATTTTTTTTCTGAATATTGATAAAGAAATGGTAGGTCACCGCCCTACTGTGGATCCAGGCCAGCAGGTGACATTTTATGTAAATATCCCCGCGGCGTCCGAAATCGACGAAAATGTCTGGCTTTTTCACTTTTGACAATAAACACAATGCCTTTACCTATTCTAGAAAAAAATTTAACGGCACATCATTGCGCAAGAAATCTAGCCGACCCCAGAAAGTGTGAGGTTAACCTTCGCCCGCACCTGGGGGGAGGGTTGCCACCCCAAGTTAGTTTTTCTGCTCTACACTTAACATTTTTAAAGCGAGACCTTATTTTGTGTATAGCTGCTTTTCTATCTTTTCTCAGCGTCCATGGAAAATTCAGTTTCTGTGGCTTTTGGGTTTGGAGATATGACCTTGTTCTTCATGTCATGTCCTAAATGATGATACCCAATATCTTGCGT